TATATATATATATATATATATATATATATATATATATATATATATATATATATATATATATATATATATATATATATATATATATATATATAAATATAAAATTTAATTTGTAATTAGAATAACTATTTTCTTTTGAGAAAAATAATAAATCCCTTTTTATATATTAATAATTATTATTATTATTATTACTTCATATTAACATAATTACTTTCTAAAATTACTAACTAATTTTTTATACTAACTTACTTATTTATTCTAAACTTTTTACTAATTTCAAACATCATTTTTTAGTCGATCATTTTTACTTCTACCTTTTAAATTACATCTACTTGAATAATTAACCAACCTTAAACTTTTTATACTAACTTAACAAAAATTCAAGATATTTTCAAAAAAGGACTAAATAACATTGCCTTCAAACAAAACTACGAACTGCGTCTACGATCATTCTTTTTTCAAAGCCAGACAAGGCTCAAGGATAATTCGAAAGCAGTTATACGCAATCATATAAAAAAACTAACCAAACACATAACGAACTACAAAGTAGACTATGATTTTTTCGCAAGAAGATACATAGGCACGCAGTTAAAACCAAGGTGAGTCTCCTAACTAAAAAATTAAACCTTTTCTTTCATATTTACATAATACTAACATATTTTAAATAGAAAATTCCCATTAAATCCTAAACCTAAATAGGGGTCCCCTTGAGAACAAGGGAGATAAGGGGTACCTAACACATTCCCTTTATATAACCAACTCGCTGACCTAGAAATCTCTAAAATTTAGGATTATTCGTTCCTTTCCCGTCCTTAGGACAAAAAGTAGTGGTGACGACTCTCATATTTTTTTGCTGGTTACGACACCAAGTCCAAAAATTTTGACGATGTGACATAATTTGTCGATCATCTTTTCAGTAGAATACATAGATTTAATATCCTAGACATAAACATGTGTTGTTTTCTTCCCCATGATGAACAATAGAGACTTGGGAGATAAGATGTGTAATCCAAAAAAGTTCAACTAAGGAAAATAAATGAGAAAGGAAAAGTGAAACTGTTTTTTAAAGTAATATAGGAAAATCCAAAGATACAAAGATATACACTAACCCAATAAGAGAACTACCACAAGAAGTGAGAGAGTCCCCACACCTAGAAGACACATATAAGAAGTAAAACAAATTGATTTTTTCAAAAACTATAACGCCCAAACTACTTTCAAGATTCCCGACTAACCCTCCAAACCAGCATAAGTCTTTTCAACATTATTTTTCCTCACTCACACACTTTCCGGGAAACTTCCCAAAAGATCATCCATCCAAATACTACTCCAAGTTAATCTCACTTAACTGTGGACTTCTTATTTGTCAGACTACCGGAAAAAAAAAAGATGCATCTTGTTGGTATATGAGTACCAATCAATCCTTATAAGCTTTCCTCCAACCATACAATCCCATCCCAGCACAACCTCGGGATCCCTCTTATTTCGATATGAATTCTACGATCACTATTCTCCCTCTGGTGTTACATGCCCCCCAGCTTCCCCGAACCACATTGTACTGGGAGAAGTCTGTCTCTAATACCATTTGTGACACTCCAAACTACTTTCAAGATTATGACTGACCCCATAAACTAACACGAGTCTTTTAAGCATGATTGTCTTCACTCACATGCTTTTCAATTTTTTCCCCAAAATGTCATTTATCCAAATAATACTCCAAGTCAAGCACGTTTAACATTAGAGTTCTTATTTGTCAGACTACCAAAAAGAAGACCTCAAATAATATACACTCTATACACCCTAAAGAGAATAATACTCACTACGTTGTTAACACATTACTTCTGACGATTGTACGTTCTACCAAACATCACCGACCATCAGAAGGGCCTCTCACCTTAATGAGTAAGTCTTATAAATAACCTCAAAATACGAACATACATGGCTTCTCGCCGTTGCGGGCAAATCTCACTACCAAAACGTATTATAAACATACTAAAGTTTCTGAGTCTCCTTTCCCTTGCAAGGGAAGCACACTCAGCTTTAACTTCTAAAATCTTAGGACCATTTTTTTTTGTGAATTGCACTATTAAACCTAATAATTAAAATTGTTTTAATTAATTAATTTAAAAAAAATTAATTGAAAAATTTTGTTTAATTCTAAAAAATAATATAAAACACTAATATATATATACACTTCACCACCATCGACAAAATGACATCCGAAAGAGGAAGCCAACGACTCATAACATCTTGAAGCACAACTTTAGAATCTCTATTATGTAATTCTCTCGTTGGAATCTGCAAACTGAAAGAGTTAATAACCTTCTCAATCGACCCTTTATCCCCTCCAAGTGCTCCTTGATAAACCTGCCATAGAGGCTCCAACACAAACTGAACAAACACATGCTTCGCCTTACCACCACCATCAATCCCTTTCTTCCCAACAATCATCTTCGCCTTCACGTTAAAATATCTCAGACCCCACAAAGCCTTATGCAACGCACTCACACTAGCACCAAGCTTTGAACAATTCTCAAAAGTCCGTATACGATTCAAAAGGAGTAAGCTTCAACTCAGTAATTAACCTATCTATCTTATTAAGCACAAGACAAGGCGAAAGTCGTTCGATCCAACATTGACGAAGAACAACATGAGTTTGAATATGCACACCTTCAGCATGAATTGTTTGGTTGTTGTGCATGCATGAACAAGTTGGTTGTCTTCTGCATATTCAGGAACGTGAAGAAGATGGATTCGTAGAACAAATTAGTCCCACATTGTTTTGTTGAACAAATAAACTATAGAGTTTATAAAACAAAATTCCATTTGGGTTTATAAGTTTAAAATATTGAGAGACTAAGTGGGCTGAAATTGAAACATTATTAAATACGCTTAGGCCCAATAGTTATATTTTGATAACTTAAAAAAAATAATTTCTAAAAAACATTAATAAATAATTTAAGAAAACATAAAAAAAAGAATTAATACAGAAAAGTAAATTAAATTATAAATATAATTTAATAAAAAAAATACTAATAAAAATAATTTAATAAAACGTCAAAAAAATTTAATAAAAAAGTAAACATTAAAAAATAATAATTAAAAAATAAAAAATTAAAATAATCTAGACGAATTTAAAAAGAATCAAACAATAAAAATAAAGTCCATGTAGACTGTCATACAAGACAAAACATAGAATTAAACTTAAATAGTGCGTACAGGGGAATTGAACTTAAATAGTGCGCACAGGAGCATAATGAAGAAATCTGAAAATTGCGAAGGAATTAAAAAAAAAAACTTTATCAGAGACTAAAAATTAAATTCGCTAACATTACACGAAGAATTTGCATATTTAACGCCATATATATATATATATATATATATATATATATATATATATATATATATATATATATATATATATATATATATATATATATATATATATATATATATATATATATATATATATATATATATATATATATATATATATATATATATATATATATATATATATATATATATATATATATATTAATGTTACTTATCCAAAATAATATATTATTTACAAAAAAATATATGAAGTAAAATTGAAAAAAGTGTATTAAAAATTAAAGTAAAACATTTATTTTAAAATATTATATATATTTCAAATCAGTCACTAGAAAATAGAGAATTTTAAATTTGTGAATAGATATGACAACAAAATCAGTATCTACAGATATCTACTCGAATCTGTTGTGAAGTTGACGGAGAAAATCTGTTTTGATTGGGTTTGAGTTTAAGTTTGAGTTTTTTTTCAATTATAAAATATGGAAACGAGTCGGATAATGAGGAGACTAGTACCCACTCTGAACCTGACCTCAAACCTGTCCCATTTATTTCATTATCTATATCATTATTTATTTTTGATAATTTAAAATATTAAAGGGTTAAATATGTTTTTGGTCCCTATAAATATCTCAAATTTCATTTTTAGTCTTTATTAAAATAATGACAAGTTTTAGTCCCTACAAAATTATTATACACGTAGTTTTAGTCTCTGTTGTTAAGCCAATGTGTATTTTTGAATGATTATTTTGTAGACATGTTTAAAACATTATAAAAAATTCATTGGAAAAAAAGAAATTCAAAATTTGATTTTTAAGTCAAGATTTTCATCAATATCTTTTGAAATTTAAAAAAACATATTTAATTCTTCTCATTTTAAAAAAATCTAAAATTTGATAAAGAAATATTTTATAGTATTCTAAACACGTATGCAAAATATTATTCAGAAATTTAAAAGTTTAAGGATAATTAAACAGTTTTTAAAATTTTAGAAAATAGTAAGAACTTAAACTGAATGAACAAAAACTTTTTAACGACTAAAATTTATCATTTTTTTAATAAGAATTAAAAATGAAATTAACTAAAATTTATCATTTTTTTAATAAGAATTAAAAATGAAATTTGAAATATTTATAAGAATAAAAAACATATTTAACCCAATATTAAATATGCGGTTATATTTTAATAATTTGATTTATATTTATTATTTAAAATATTTAAAATGTTTGAATGTATGAAAATTTTTAAAACTGTTTTATGTTATTATTTATAATATAATTTGATTTTGAAAAATAAATATTTTAATTAAAAATATTGATTTTATTAAATAGATAATAGTTGAGTGTAAATATCCAAACCCAACTCAAATATATTTAGGACTAGTTTGAATTTTAATTCTACTGAAAATTGTTTAGATTTAAGTTTGGATTCGAGGATAGTTGACCTGCTCTATTGCTATGGTTATTTGTGAATACCATATATTTAATGAGCTTTATTTTTTAGGTAATTTATCTATGAATGAAATAACTTAAAAAAAAAAAAAACAGATTTTCCGACAAAATAATATGTTTTGTTGTCCTTGGCCGATAAGTTAAGTAGGTAGGAGTGACGGCGGCGCGACGATCATCGCCTCCGGTTTTCGTTTTCAATTCGAGTCACTCAGCTATGAAATGGAAACGAGACGAATGAGAAGATTTATGCGTCATCAAAGACCCAACACCACTCTTCTTCCTCTTCACGCTCCTCCCTCTTCCTCCACCCACCTTTCCAATACCGTCTCCTTCTTCTACTGCGATTACAAATTCACCTTCTTCAATAAACCTGTTTATCTCTTCGGTCGCCGATATGCCAAGTTTCTCAGACTCTGGTTTTCTATTGGCCTTGGATTTGCCCTTTCTGCCATGCTTGCTGTCACCCTGGTAACAATTTCCCCTTTCATTTTTTAATTCATTCATACTACTTATTGATTGGTTTTTTTTGTATTGTTTTAGATTTTGCTCTGGGAGTTAGCAACTGCTTTGCATCTATGTGGAGATAGCATTAGGTTTAGAAGTATTGCCAGTGAATTGCTGTTTGGGTTCCCTCATTTGCGGTCTGGTTTGAGGTTATCACTTGTTGATGCTGGATATATATGTATTTCTACTATCGTTTCTGTTTTTGTGCATGAATTTGGCCATGCACTCGCCGCCACTAGGTCAGTTCACTTGTTTTTATTTTGTTGCAGCATTTGCACGGCACTGCTAATCATTGAATGCAATCACGTATGTAGTTGTCAGTGCTGGTGCCTTATTAAAAATGTGTGGTATGACTAACTATTGTTAGAAGAGCCTTTCGGATGAACTAGATCATATTCATCTGTTTGTTGCTTCTAAAATGCTAGAAACATCTTGTTGTTTGATTTTTTTTTGGTGATAGGGTGTGTAAATTAATATGCTTTTTTTGGGACAAATTTCCTACTGAACGCTTCATCAATAGCATTCCCTTCCCATAACTTGATATGAAGTTGAAGCAAATTCATGATGTTGATGAAGAAGTGAGAATGATTTCGTCTAATTTTATCATTTACCAAACTACTATAAATCGGTGAACACAACATAGCTAGCTTTAGGGAAGAATTTAGAGTTTGAAAAGTAGGAGTCCCACATCGGACGATATATGACTTGAACACGTGCTTGTAACTGGGGATAATTCTCACTCTACAAGCCGGTGTTGTAGGGATGGATTAGGCCTAAACCACATTTATTAACCGTCTGAAAGGACTGAACCACAAATAGAAATGTAGGATGGTAGGTCAATAGAATCTGGGTGGGATATTGAGAAATGTAGGAACGTGGGATTGGGGTGATCGACGACAATCCTTGTCAAGACCTGTTTAAGGTTGGATTTTGCAACCTGGTTTGCTAAAAAACCCTACCTTTTGTTTCTATTTACTGATTCTGATCTACCTCTGCCTTCTCTTTCAACTGCATGTGAACCCACTGGCACCAACGTCACACAACCTTTTCCATCTCGCGCCGAAGCAGCGCACGAGCCTCCTCTGGTGATACTCCTGAACACTCCAATAGCTGCTTCCCTTATCCTTCTCCCATGTTTTTACTTGTTGCCTTGCGCATCTGCTGTTGAGACGGGGGCTCTAACGAACCAATACTCATTCTTAAACTCAATTAGAAACCTAATAGATAAAGTAAGCATATCTTGTGAGAAAAAAATTCCCAGACTTGGATGAATTGTATTAAAAACAACCCCTCCCAACCAAATACACACACACACACACATAAAATAAGGGATCATCTACAAGTACATAGCTTCCTTTTATGTTATACAAATAGATCCCCTTTATTCTTTCCTCGAAGGGTAAGGTCTTAGAACAGTAAATTTATTTTAGAGTTTGAGACTTTATGAATACATTCTAGGAGTCCCAAGCCCGTAGTGCTTTCAAACATATTTCAACATCAGAATTGCAGCATGTTATTTCAAAACAACCAGGGTGTATTTCCAATGATATTTCAACGGTAGAGTTTTATTGTTCTTTTATAGTTTTTTTACTGTGATAATGCAGATACCAAGAATATCAAATTAGTTTTGCTTGAAATGTCAAAAGCTAGATTCTCATGCCTTATGCTATTGCACCTTTTCAATGGAAAGCAGTGAGGGAGTACAAGTAGAGTACGTTGCCATCTTCGTCGCAGTTCTATTTCCTGGTGCTCTGGTTGCCTTCAATGATGATTTGCTGCAAGCTTTACAACATTTGACTTCCCTTCGCATATATTCTGCTGGCATTTGGCACAATGCAGTTGTAAGTTGAATAAAAGTAGAACCCATTAACACTACTATGAAATGTATATACTAGTGTTACTCAATAACCTTCTCAAACACAGTGAATATTAGTAATCTTGTCTTCAAACTAGCTATTATTTGATTTTGCATGTCTGATCAAATGTTATATTTTATGGGAAAATTGACACTAATATATCCATCTTAGGGGAAGAAAGAGAGGCAACTCAATGAATGAGAATATGGAAATGTCTAGGGATTACAAAGTTAGTTGTAATTGGTACTATTTATAACAAAAGGAGAATTTCTATGCAATTTTAGCATAATATAACTCGCTGATATTTACAAAATTTTATTTTTCACATCAGTATAGAAGATATACTGCAATATCAATATAATTTTATTATTTTGTGTATTCTTTTTCCTCCATCTATATCCAAAATACTGATCTTGTAACTCCAATGATAAAATGGTCTTGATGGCTTTCTTGGGATCAATTTTGGTTGAATCTCAAACATGATAATTCTACAAAGCTTACCTCTTTGAAGATACTTAGTGGAAGAGATCCCCACGCCCCATATTTTATCAAGAATCAAGAGCAGCTATCCCTTCTGCAGTAAAGGATGTTAATCGATGATTTTGGAGAGGGTTGCTATCCCGAGTTAGTTACAAGTTAATCTACTTAAGTTAAAGCACAAAAATGAGTGGAATATTGCAAAAAAAAGGAAGCTCTTGTAGCTTTTGGGACTGATAGTGTACCACTATCAAACATTCTTACTTTATCTTTCTTTGTAATTGTCCATCATTCAATATAATTGCAGAACTTTTCGACATCCACGTGTTTTATCTTTGCGTTTTGATTTACCGTTCTATTAATTGGTCCGACCTGCCACATCATTAAACAAAGCAAATTCTCCACCGTAGATGCCACCAAAGATGTCAGACACAGTAGAAGTGTTGTAAGAACAAATGGGCGACGCTAGAATGACGTAATGTTTTAGCTAATCAGATGCAGTGACAGAGCATTGTGTTAGCTGAATTGGGCAAACTGATTGGAAAAAAACCCTCTGGCACTGAGTTGTTTTTAGGAGAAAACGCGTTTAGGGAATCTCATGGTGAGTCGTGACTTGCTGGTAGTAAGGTGAAAATACCAGTGTTTAAAGTTGATGATCCAGCTGCATGGATTACGCGTGCTGAGATCTACTTTGATGTTCAAAATACACATGACAATATGCGACTAAAACTCACTCGATTGAGCATGGAAGGTTCCACCATCCACTGGTTCAATCTATTGATGGAAACAGATAATGAGTTGTCACGAGAGAAGTTGATGAAGGCACAAATCACAAGATACAGAGGACGAAGATTGGAAAATCCGTTTGAAGAATTATCGATATTGAGGCAAACTGGAAGTGTTGAAGAGTTTGTTGAGGCGTTGGAATTGTTGTCCTCACAAGTAGGCTCCCTGAAGAGCACTACTTGGGATACTTTATGAGTGGATTGAAACCTCAGATTTGAAGGAAGGTTAGAACGTTAAATCCACAAACTTGAATGCAGATTATGAGGATGGCAAAAGATGTGGAGGATGAATTGAAAGAAGACGACGATGACAATGATAGGGGCTGTGGGAGGAAAAATGGAGTGTATCATTTAGGCTGCAAGGAGTGGAATGTGCTTGGTTTCTGTCAGAACGAGCTGTACATGTGTTAATTAGTGGTATATTTTATAGTTAAATAGGATTAAAATCGCATAAATAGGATTTGATTAGCTGTGTATGTATTTATAGAAATTATTGGTCCTTACTTATAGAATTGATTGAGGGCAATGAATGATAAGTATTTATTAAGAATTTCCTTTCCTAAATATATTGTATTCTATTTAAGAGCACAGGCTGCTCTAATCAATAATAATAAAACATTATCTCTGTCATGGTATCAGAGCTCCAAAATCCATAGGAGCCTGTTAAAAATTGTGGCCTGCATTGCCATTGTTTCCGCTGTGCGGCCTGCATTGCCGATTTTATTTTACGGTCTATCTTGCCGTTTTTCCCAACAAAATTCAGAATGTCTGAACCAGTTAATACCCCTGCCCCAAACACCGGCTCTGTTGAGCTGAAAAATGTTCAACCTAGCCTTCGTCTCAATGGTAAAAACTACCTCAAATGGTCTCATTTTGTCCAAACCTTTTTAAAGGGGAAGGGCAAATTGAATCATCTTACTGGAAAGGATACTCCAGAAGCTACAGACGGGAAATTTGCTGCATGGGATGAAGAAGATGCTGTTGTAATATCATGGCTATGGAATTCCATGGTGCCTGAGATTAGTGATGCATGCATATTCATGAAGACTGCCAAAGAGGTGTGGGATAGCTGTAAAGAAAACTATTCCAAGGTTGGTGATGCTGCACAAATTTACGAAATTAAGATGAAGATTGCAACTACCAAGCAAGGAGATCGGTCCATTAGTGAGTATGCCCAAACTCTACAAAATCTATGGTTGGAGTTGGATCACTATGAACATTTTGAAGCAAAATGCACTGCAGATGCTACTTTACTAAAAAATTATAAGGAGAAGGATAGAATCTATAAGTTCTTAACCGGTCTGAACAATGAGTTTGATCCAATAAGGATTCAAGTACTCGGAAAAGAGTTACCCTCACTAAATGAAACCATGGCTGCCTTTCGAACAGAAGAATCACGAAGAGGAGTGATGATGGAGCCTCAATCAACTGAAAGTTCAGCCTTAGTAACACAAAGTCGAGAGAAGAACATTGACCAATGGAAGAACGGTCAAACCGGAGGAGCTCCCAAAATGGAGATTGAAAGAGGGGATAACAAGGATTCTCTATGGTGTACCTTCTGCAAGAAGCCAAGGCACACCGAAGACAGATGCTGGAAACTTCATGGAAAACCGCCAAATCAGAACCGAAATTGGAACACCAAAGGCATTCAACGAGGAGGACCAGCACATGCCCACTTGGTCCAATCAAGTGTTGTCAAGGAAAGTCATTCCAAACCTACTGCTGATTTCAATTCAGAAGAAATTACAAGACTAAGGGAACTACTAGACTCTTTAGTCAAACCCACAAACACAGGTAGTTCTTCCATGGCATTATCAGGTAGTTCTCATCCCTATGCTCTTAGTGTTTTACAATCTACAAAAAAAGGGACATGGATTGTTGATTCTGGGGCTACGAATCACATGACCCATTCCTCTATAGAGTTTATCTCTTACACACCGTGTCCAAGTAATAAAAAGATTGTCACTGCAGATGGCACTTTTATTACTGTTGCAAGAAAGGGAGATATTCCACTAAGTCAAAATTTAATGTTGAGAGATGTCTTGCATGTGCCCAAATTATCTGCCAAACTGTTATCTATTCACAAACTTACAACAGATTTACAATGCTTGGTAACATTCACTCCTACACTTTGCAAATTTCAGGATCAGGAAACGGGGAAGATGATTGGACTTGCTAGAGAGGACAATGGGCTCTACCTTCTTATGGAAGCGCGTGAGACAAGTAGCATTAAGAGTCAACTTCCACTGTCTTTGTTGTCAGAATCTATTCCTTCCCTCAATAAAGAAATCTGGTTGCGTCACTTCCGGTTGGGTCATCCTTCATTTAGCACTCTCAAAAATATGTTTCCCACCTTGTTTCAAGGTATAAACTTAGAAAATTTTCACTGTGATGATTGTGAACTTGCTAAACACAAACGTGTCAGCTTTCCTAATAATAATAAAAGAATGTCTACTCCTTTTTCCTTAATCCATAGTGATGTTTGGGGGCCATCCAATATCCCAAATATATCGGGGGCCCGTTGGTTTGTCATTTTTATTGATGATTGTACTAGAGTGTCATGGATGTATCTCTTAAAACAAAAAAGTGAAGTCACTCAAATATTTAAATTGTTTTTCCAAATGATAAAAACCCAATTTGAGACTACCATTAAACGGTTTCGTTCTGACAATGCCAAAGATTATTTTAATCAAACATTGTCTTCCTTTTTCACTGAACATGGTATTATTCATGAATCATCATGTGTCCACACCCCACAACAAAATGGGGTGGCTGAAAGAAAAATTGGGCATATTCTCAATGTTACCCGAGCATCTTTATTCCACACAAATGTTCCAAAACAATATTGGGGGGAGGCTGCTCTTACTGCAGCCTACTTGATTAATCGCTTACCCTCTCAAATTCTTCAGAATAACAACCCCATTCAGCTCCTCTCCAAATTCTACCCAAATTTCAAAACTTCAAACCACCTAGTTCCTAGGATCTTTGGGTGTGTGTCATTTGTCCATGTTCATTCTCCACATCGAGGAAAACTTGATCCCCGAGCTATTAAATGCATATTTCTTGGTTACTCGCCTACCCAAAAAGGTTACAAGTGTTATCAACCTACAACAAAAAAGAATTTTGTGTCTATTGATGTCACTTTTGTCGAAACCGAATCCTTTTTTTCCAAACCTTATCTTCAGGGGGAGAAGGAATGCATCAAAGATAAGGATGATTTGTTCAAAGACCTTTGTTTTATGCCCAAGACTCCCGAGTCAAGTCCTATAACCACTTCATTACAGACTTCTAATGCTACTCGTCCACTACAAGTTTACACAAGAAGGGCAGCACCTATTATCCAACCTGTGCAAGTCCCAGAATCTGACCCAATTCTTGAAACTGTAATCAATGAGACTGTTTTAGAGGAGCAAATTGTGCCCCCTGAAACTGAAGTTGATGGGACTGATTTAGAGGAGCAGAATATATCCATGGATGCTAGAGATCTTCCAATTGCAATAAGGAAGGATGTTAGAGCATGTACAAAAAGGCCAAGGTATCCAATGTCTCACTTTATATCCTATGATAATTTGTCCAACAATCATAGAAGTTTTCTTGCTCATTTAAACACTACCGCTATCCCAAAAAATGTTACCGAAGCACTAGATAGCAAAGAGTGGAGAGAAGCTATGAAAGTTGAAATGGATGCACTTGAGAAAAATGGAACTTGGAAGTTAGTAGAGCTTCCTAATGACAAAAAACTTGTTGGCTGTAAATGGGTATTCACCCTTAAATACAAGTCCGATGGAACACTAGAAAGGTATAAAGCAAGACTAGTAGCTAAGGGGTACACACAAACATATGGGATTGACTATCATGAGACTTTCTCTCCTGTCGCAAAAATGAGCACTGTCAGAATTTTGTTATCTCTAGCAGCTAACTATGGATGGAATTTGCAGCAATTCGATGTCAAGAATGCTTTCCTACATGGCAACCTTGAAGAGGAAATTTACATGGAGGTCCCACCTGGGTTTAACTTTGAGAAAGACAAAGTTTGTAAGCTAAGGAAGGCCCTTTATGGACTGAAACAGTCCCCTAGGGCCTGGTTTGGCAGGTTTACCACTGTGATGAAAGATATGGGATATAAACAAAGTCAGGGAGATCACACTTTGTTTACTAAGCATTCAGCCTTAGGGGGAGTTACTGCACTAATTGTTTATGTGGATGATATAATTGTAACAGGAAATCATCAAGCAGAAATGGATAGCCTAAAAGTGTGTTTGCTAAAAGAGTTTGAAGTAAAAAAGTTGGGCAGATTAAAATATTTTTTGGGCCTTGAAGTGGCACACTCTCGTCACGGTATTTTCATCTCTCAACAGAAGTATGTGCTGGATTTATTATCTGAAACTGGTAAATTGGGATGCAAACCAGTAGAAACTCCAATTGAACAAAATCACAGACTTAGTGAATTTGTTGAAGATGCAACTGTGGACAGAGAATCCTATCAAAAGTTGGTTGGAAAGTTAATCTATTTATCTCACACTAGGCCAGACATAGCTTATGCAGTGGGAGTGGTGAGTCAATTCATGCATAATCCCAAAGAAAATCATCTTAGAGCTGTTTACCGAATTTTGCAATACTTGAAGGGCACTCCTGGAAAAGGAATTCTATTTACAAAGGGTCAAGGAATTACTTTGGAAGCCTATACAGATGCTGATTATGCTGGATCAGTAGATGACAGAAGATCCACATCCGGATATTGTACTTTTCTTGGAGGAAACTTGGTGACTTGGAGGAGCAAAAAACAAAACGTTGTTGCGAGGTCAAGTGCAGAAGCAGAATTTCGGGCTATGGCTTTAGGTATTTGTGAACTCCTATGGCTGAAAATAATTCTACAAGACCTAAAGATTGAATGGAATGGACCCATGAAACTATATTGTGACAACAAGTCAGCAATAAACATTGCACATAATCCAGTGCAACATGATAGAACGAAGCATGTCGAAGTAGACAGACATTTCATCAAGGAAAAATTGGATAGTGGGACAATATGTATACCATTTGTATCAACTGGAAATCAGCTGACAGATGTTCTTACAAAAGGATTAAGTGGTTCTACATTGCAATCTATTATCGGCAAGTTGGGAATGAGTAACATCCACTCTCCAACTTGAGGGGGAGTGTCAGAATGAGCTGTACATGTGTTAATTAGTGGTATATTTTATAGTTAAATAGGATTAAAATCCCATAAATAGGATTTGATTAGCTGTGTATGTATTTATAGAAATTATTGGTCCTTACTTATAGAATTGATTGAGGGCAATGATAAGTATTTATTAGGAATTTCCTTTCCTAAATATATTGTATTCTATTTAAGAGCACAGGCTGCTCTAATCAATAATAATAAAACATTATCTCTGTCAGTTTCAAAAACAAAAACAAGTTGAGTTGGACCGAGAAATATTTAATATGGTCCACAATCTCAAGTTGGAGCAATCCGACTTAGAATACCGGTTCAACTGGGTCGAATTAAATATCCTCCACGTTGTTTACTTTGACAAGAAAAGGCCAGAACAACTGCCATAGTGGTTCTGCAGAGCGATGGAAGGGAGTCCGAAGTCTTCACCGTGAGGAGATGAACGAGCAGCGAGCTAAGGGATTCTGTTTCTAATCTGAAGGGAAGTTCCACCCTACCCTTCACAATTGTCCGGAGCGATCCATACGATTGTTGATTTTGGGCGGCAGTGAGAGCCTCAATGATGAGGTGGAGATTGTTACAATTGAAGCCGTAGAAGAATCAGAGGAGGTTGAGGCAGATTGTAAATTGATTTGGAGTATTAGGAAGTATGGAGGGTTGTCATACAATGAAGATTGAAGGCGGATTTGAGAATGTGGGTATAGTAGTAGTCTTGATAGATAGTACAGCTAGTCATAATTTCATCTCTCAAAAGTTAACCTCTGCACTAGGACAGGTCACACCTATGGTGGCCAAAGCAATAAAGTTAGGGGATGGGCATAGGGTGTTTCCGGTAGGAGTTTGCTAGGGAAGTGGAATTACTTTGGGATGTCATGTGTTTGTGCCGGATGCCATGGTGTTGGAGTTAGGAGGATAGGATGTGGTGATGGGATTATCGTGGTTGAGCACTTTAAGAAAGGTAGTCATGGATTGGAAAAATTTATCTATGTAATTTTGGCATCAGGATAAGTTGATATCTCTCCAAGGTCAAGGAGTAGCCTAAGGAATATCATGTTCACTCAACACTTTTCTTGGAAACCAAGATTTAGGAAAAGTTGAGGATTGGTGGTTGTTTCCTCAAAAACAAATGAATGATAAAGGAATGTAGAGGTTTTACATAGCCTATTGGACCAATTCCGAACTTTATTTCAGGAACATATTCAACTGCCTCAAAAAGAGCCCAGGTTCATCATATAAGGTTGCTTTCTGAGTATGGTCCAATCAATGTTAGATATCCGCGTCCTCACAAAAGAGATAGAAAGACATGTTTAAGAGTTATTAGTACCAGGGGTGGTCGGACCCAACATGATTTCATTTTCAAGTTCTGTAATCCTTGTTAAAAAGAAAGACGGGTGGTGGAGAATGTGTGTGTATTATAAGCCTCTCAACAAGGTCACACTTCTTGATAAGTATCCTATTCCTATCGTTGATGAGCTATTGGATGAATTACATGGAGCAACAATCTTCTCAAAAATAGACTTAAAGTCGGGGTACCATCAAACTTGAGTTCATGAGGACGATGTACCCAAAACAACTTTTAAGACCCACAATTGGCATTATGAATATCTGCATATGCCTTTTGGATTGATGAATGCACCAACTACATTCCAATCGATTATGAATGGCATTTTCAAACCTTTCCAATCAATTAGTGTTTTTTTATGACATTATGATCTATAGTAGCAGTGTCAGGGCTCATCATGACCACTTAAAACAAGTGTTATCTGTTTTGGTTAATTGTTGTTCTGTGGCCAACAAAGGCAAATGTCAATTTGGGTGTCCTCAAGTTGATTATTTGGGCCACATGACCACATAACAAGGGGTGGCTGTGGATCATGGGAAGGTGCAATATATTTTAGATTGGCCTGTACCTAAAAATTTAAAAGGGGTGCATGGTTATCTTGGACTGACAGGGTACTACCGAATGTGAAAGATTATGGTAAGATTTAGATTGCCAAGCCTTTAAACAAAGTTGACTCTAGGAAAGACAGTTTCTCTTGTGGGGAAGCTGCCATGGAATCTTTTAATCTGCTCGAGAAGATTATAACTACACCTACAGTGCTAATGTTACCTAATTCTGTGGTGCCTTTTAAAGTGTGATGTAGCAGGTAGTGGGATTGGTGCTGTTTTAATGCAACAGAGGCAGCCAATAGCTTTTCTCAGTAAAGCTTTATCTGAGGGTAATTTATCCAAATCGGTGTATGAGAAGGAATTGATGGCCTCGGTGCTTGCCTTTCAGCATGGGAGACATTACCTATTGGGGAAACCATTTGTGGTCTACACTGATCACAAGAGTCTGAAACACTTTTTACAACAACTGTTTCATCCCCTAACCAACAATGTTGGCTGGCTAAGTGGTTAGGCTATCAATTTGAGGTCAAGTACAATGCCAAGATGGAAAAGCAGCAGATGCTTTGTCTAGATGTTTTGAAGACGGTGAATTAGCAACTACAGTTTCGTACCCTACGTGGTTAGATGGATCAAAGTTGTTGCAAGAAGTGAAACAAAATGCTAGTATTAAAAAAATAATCTGAGTTACAGCAAGATTCCAACTCTAAACCTGGATTTTCTGTGCAGCAGGGCAATTTATTTTATCAAAACTGTTTGGTGCTTGCATCTAACTCTCCTTCCATTCCTTTGTTATTTAAGGAATTTCACTGCACTCCTATGGGAGGTCATTCTGGTTTTCTTCACACCTATAGACAGCTTGCTGCCAATTTATATTGGGTAGATATGCAGAAAATGCTAAGAGATTTTGTGAGGTTATATGATATTTGTCAATGACAAAAATACTGTCACAGCTCCAGGGGGATTGTTACAACCACTACCTATTCCCAATGCAGTATGGGAGGTCTTCTCTTTAGATTTCATCATGGGGCTGCCCGTCTAAAGGTTTTCAGGCTGTGTTGGTAGTGGTTGACAGACTATCGAAGTGCAGCCATTTCATATTGTTAAAGCACCCCTATGCTGTCAAATCAGTAGCTGGACTGTTCACTAAGGAGACTGTGAGGTTACATGGAGTTCCCAACTCTGTAGTCAGTGATAGAGACCCTTTGTTTGTTAGCAATTTTTGGATGGAACTGTTTAAAGTGCGGGGAACTTCATTGAGGATGAGTTCAGCTTACCACACGTAGATGGATGGCCAAACTGAGGTAATTAATAGGTGTCAGGAAAGCTACTTACGTTGCTTTGCTTCTGAGCAACCAAAGACTTCGTCTCATTGGGTTCCATGGGCAGAATTTTGGTACAATACTACATTTCAAACTCCAATTGGTAAAACCCCATTTGAGGTGGTATATGTGAGGCAACCCCCAAGCTTGTTGCGTTTTCTAAGCAATGAAACCAAAGTAGTAGTAGCTGTGACTATTGAACCAAGTGAACGAGACGAGGCTCTGGGACAATAAAGATTCATTTAGTTAAGGGACAACTGATGAAGAAATATGCAGAGAGGAAGAGACATGAGGTTCAATTTCAGGTAGGAGAATGGGTCTTTTTGAAGTTAAGACCCCATAGACAACAATTTGTGATCAAAAGAATGATGACATGGCAGGTGTGATAGAAAAACAATGATTCAATTAGTTATAAACTGTTATATAGTGGAGGCATGAGAGAGAATAGGTAGCTAAGCATTCTTTTATTTTGGAAAGGGGTTAGATCATGAGTATCTCATTGTAAGGGAAGCTCTTGTAGCTTTTGGGGTTGACAGCGTACCACTATCAGACATTTCTTACGTTATCTTTATCTGTAATTGCCCATTATTCAATACAGTTGCTGAACTTTTCCACCATCCCCGTGTTTTATCTATGTGCTGTGATTTACAGTTCTATTAGAGTTACTGTTGGGAGAGGTAGCGTAGGCTGTTATTACTGCTATAAAGGGAAAAAATAGTTCTGGGAATTAACTAGTTGGGAGAGATTGTACCATCATTTTGCACATGACATATACTTCTGTAATACCATCATGACAACAATAACTCAATTTCAACTCCGTAAGGATAGGTTGTGCTCCAGTGCTGTGCACGTTGCATTGATGGTCGTCTGAGAGGAGAGCTTGTGTTTTAGTGCTGGGCGCATTCCCTGTGAAGGTCATATTTCAGTGACCGTTGCTAGAGAGTGCATGTCTTGGTGTGTTGCTGGAGAGGTGCAGTTCTCTTTGCATGTAACATTTCAGAGCTGTATTCCAGTGCTGCCTCTGTTTCAAATGTGAAGCATGAACAAACAACGCGAAGGATGAAATGAAAAAGGGTTTATTGTGAATTTGGGCCACATTAAAAACTAAATCAAATCGTGAAATTGCGCCAAACTTGTAGTTTCATGCGAGTTTTAAACATTTTTTCACTCGAGTCAGTGCAGAAACATTTCCACATCCATTCCAGCTCGTTTTGACTTGATGTGTATATCAATGCTTGTATATTTAGTTTTAGACTTTTACATTGTCCAGATTGCTGATTGCATTTCTCCAACATCAACCTTTTTCTAGTGTTGTGCAGCTTGCGGATTGACATTATTCCTCATGCCATTACTCTTGTTTCCCTTTTACAGCAGTGATCATGGTCCAGTGGTACTACTTCTTGACCATTTTGAATTTACCATTTTCTTTGTTTATACATCATCTTTCTTATTGCATATATGGGGTTTGTATGTGAGACAGGTTTTGGATGTACCACCAACCTCACCTTTGTTTGGTTATTTGGCACCTGGTGATGTTATTCAATCAGTAGATAATGTACCCATCATAAATGCTCACGAGTGGTTGAAGCTTAATACTTTGACATATGATAACCAGCTTAAAAATATAAATATTTCCCAGCACATTGGAGACTTGGGTGTTGTCAATAATACGAAGGGTTACTGTGTCTCTAGTCTAGTGATGGAAGCAGGCAAAATGAGTGAAATGCTGGAAAGTCAACATGTTTGTCCCAGTGAACGTACTGCCTTCGTAAAACTTTCATGCTCTGACAATATTACACTGGATGATGGCCAGAATGAAACCAAACTATCAAATGGGAGATGGAATATATACTGCTTAAACGCCAAAGATGTTGTCAAACTTGATAAGTGCGGTAATGGCTGGGGGCTAGCTACATCAAAAGGAAGTAGCTGTCTGTGCTCTCAGGTAAGATAGTTACCTGAATATTAGTAACCTTTCTAGTTTGTTTCTACTCTCTTGCTCTCAGACACTAAGTTACAATGCATACTGAATACACATACTTGATTTTTTTCATAGGATGAGTTTTGTTTAGCTCCAGTTCAGGAGCCTGGAATGGTATGGGTCGAGATCACATATTCAAGTCCTTCTCATGAGTGTTTGCATGAAGGAAACCAGTTACCAGTTTCCAAAACTTCTGGCCTTAAAGAAACTAATTGTAGTGCTACTTTTATTTTTGTTGGTGATGTCATCTCAATGGCACATTCAATTCATCTAACATCATATCAGCCTCGCTGGGGACCAAAGATCGTTGCATATTTTCCAAATTTTCTGGAAAGGATTTTAATTTGGACATTCCATGTCTCTCTAGCTCTGGCTCTTCTCAATGGTTTACCAGTAAGTGATGAGTTTCTTCTTGCTTATGTTAGGCATTGCCTTATCTCAAGCATTGGCATTGCATATGCGCATTATAAGTGTAAATTAAAATTATTCATAAACATTATGCAGCCCTATTTGATGTTTCATTGAATGCTTTTTTGTGATTTCCTGACATCTAACATAATGGCTAGTAGATAGCTTCACCTTAGACAGAAATATGTTCGATGAAGATACAAAATGTTAGAAAAGATATATAGCAAAGTTTAGAAGATGGAGTGATTAATTGAAAACACTTGTTTGACTAGCTCCATTGTTCAATCACTTCAAACCTTAATGTTTCTTATGAAATAGCGAATGTTAGAATAATTTGAATTATGCTAGAGGTGAAGATTGAACCCTCTCCCTCATTCACTTCAAACCTTAATTTAGGTTATGCTAGTGGTGCAGATTGAACCCTCTCTCTCTCTCTCATTCACTTCAAACCTTAATTTAGGTTCAACAGATTGTGATAATATAATTAGCCTGCTGCATGATGGGGCTAAGTGCGATGCTACTGTGAAAGGTTTCGGGGTTGTGGGTTAAAACTTAAAATAAAGTCTTTAGTTATAAGTTGGGAGGTTCTACTTAAGGAAAACAATAGGCCTTCAAGGAAAATTTGTTACAGTGATGCAATAAATAAAATAGATATATGTTTTTTTTTGGTTCCAACGTTGAGTCAAAGAGGTTGGATTGTTTTTCTGACAATTAGCAAAGTCAGTTACTCAACTTCCTTTTCATGTTGCTAGTGACAAAACTAAGATGGCATAACTCTATATATAAGTGTTATCAAATATCTGCAGTGGCGGCGCTATGGCGGTTTTTCTGTTTGCTGCAATGGTAAATATCGGCCGATATTGCAGATTTTTCCGCCACAATTCGCTATAACGGTGCCACAAAGTGTCTGTTATGGCGGGATTTTGGCTCTCCGCTGTGGACCGCTATCCGTCATGGAGAACACCAGCTCTACGTTACATAATTCATGAATCTTAATACTATCGGGTCATAATATAAGAATACTTAGTTGAAGAAGGTCTAGTGGAAAGGAGTACTGCTCTTGTAATGCATTTGTCTCTTTAACTTACAAAGTGACACTTTCAGAAACTGCAGTTCAGTTTGTTTCATTCCTCTTACAAATTGACATTCAAAGAAAATGAATAGGTTTCTTTGTCTCCCATAAACTGCTTTTGTTGATGGAGTAACAAAGATAGTCCACCATCATATACATTGTTGCCCAAGGCCTACATGTTACAAACAATCTCGGTCTAGTATGCTGCAGTCACGTGAGACATTTAAGAGGTCTTAAATGAGAGGCAACAAGGTGATCACGTGCGCGGCACATGGGCGAGATAGACACGTATGGAGACTTCCTTGAAAAGAGGTCACCTGCCATGACCCGGATGGAGCGGGGTCATGCTGACTAAATCCGAGGAAAAAGCCTGAAAGCATGGCATGTTTCATTAGGTCTAAGCAACTATATATATCTACCTCAAGGGTTAGGCCAGGGATCATCACATATACAAATCACTAACAAAAGACCTCTTGCTTGGTATATCGCCGACAGGGTCACTACTATTTACTCACAGCAAGTACAAATTGAAAGAGAGAGATAATGTGTGCAAGCCTTTTGATATGTTAGTTCTGATACCGAATAATGTTTTTGTTTCTATTGTTAATTTTCTTATGCTTGTGTTGCTATTATCAGGTGTATTTTCTGGACGGTGAATCTATTTTAGAAGAAACTTTATCTCACTTTACTTCTTTAAGTCCAAGGAAGAGGAAGAAGGTTCTTAGACTATGTCTCCTTGGTGGGTTACTTGTTTCTATTTTTGGCCTTTTCCGGTTACTCCTTTAGTTATATTTTGATATTAGCTTTTCTTTTTGAAATGAGTATATGAAAATTACAAATCTGTGAACAAAACCTGAATGTTCAGAATTTCTGTTCCAATACTGAAGGAATCAATCAACTTCAGAGTGAAATTCAGGTAACTTTCAAATTTCAATAGAATATTATTTTTATTCATATATTGTTTCAATTATTAGTTATCTTTTAAAATAACCAAGTACTACAATTACCACGTAAATATTTTCTTTAGGATGAGTTACATATATCAAATGATGTCATAATGTCTTATTATCAATCTAGTCTAGTTACCTATCCCTCACAATGCTTTTACTTTTTTTAAAAAAAAAAAAAATTCAAAAAAGGTAATTCAGATACTTTCTTTTTAGAATAATCTTAGGAATGCAACCACTTGCGCACAGCAGGATATCCTTAGGTAGAACAAAAAAAATCCTAAATGTAACATGTAAGCTTCTCAGTCCACCCCTAAAACTGCGTTTAAGGAAGGATCCTTCCCATAGTGAAGTTTTGCAGATTTGAACATAGGAGGGATGGATTGATAAACTCCAAAATTTTTGGGAATTGCTTCTCTTAAAGTGGTGGAGAAGCGCCTATGAAAATCCGAAATTGTTTCGGAGAATCTAGAAGTGCATTTTCAGATGCACCATTTTCACACCAAAACACGTTTTAACGGAAGTCTCACTCTATTTTTTTCTTCAAAATTTAGTCAGGAAGTGCATCTCTAGACCCACTCCATCAAGGTTTTTCTAATTTAACAACTCAACAACAAATCCAGAACTATACTTTCAGATTTGTAAAGCGGGAATTTGAAAACATGCCACCTTTGCATGTTACTCAAAATTCTAGAAGTGTGTTTTCGAATTTGTGAAGCAAGATTTTTAATAAAACAATATCCTTTATGTTCTTCTTCATGATCAAACACTCATTTTCTCTCAAAATCGTTAAAATGATTTTTCATTCTCAATCAAGTTTTGCACTCAAAAACTTTATTTTTGTGTTTCATCACATTAAAAGGAGTAAAAGAAATTGAATTTTAAGGTAAAATTTATGTATTTCATTCTTCACTGCTCAATTAATCTGGTTTTTGAGCTGAAAAAGTTACGATGCGTCCGAAAATACCCTTCTAGGTGAGTTCATATAGAAGTGTTTTTTTTGGAATAGTTCAGAGTACAATTTGGATAGTTTTCTTTTTTTAATATTTTTTATTATTATTTGCTTTAGATATGGTGCACCCTGATATTATCCTCAAACCTATCATGTCTACGGATATCAAATGTGTTGATGCTAAGGAGGTAGATGTTGACAACCAATTTACAAATGGACAAGAGTTTGATGTTTGTGATTACATGTTCATATGGATCTACATAGACATCTAGCTTGGGGTTTGGTGTTGTAATCAGAAGGTATGATAATGGTTCAAATAAAAGACTTGCATTTGCTGCACTGAGATGCAAAAGTAGCAACTACATAACTTCTTTTCAGAAGTTGAAATGAGATACACCGGTTCGAGGCAATGTGAGATTTAATGTGATTTTTGATTTACATAACCATGACATGTGTCACAAGTTAGCTGACCATTCCATTGCATGTTGCCTTATGTTTGAAGAGAAGAGATTGTTTTGCATATGGCATTGAATATGGTGTAGTCTAAAAACATACTTGCAACTTTGTAAAAAACTCGAAAATATCTCAAATATCAAGCAAGTATACAATATTTATGTCAATAACAAGGCGATAATAGAAGATAAAACATAAATGCAACAATTGGTTAAACTTTTGGATGATAATGATTATATATCTAGGTATCGAGTGTGCGATAGACTCATCTTGATTTCATAAAGTTATTCAACACATTTCCTATTACACTCATCATTGATTCAACATATAAGATCAAAAGTACAAGCCTGCACTATTGAAAATTGTTGGTGTTACCTCTATCGAAAAGATTTATTATGTTGGGTTTGTATTTTTGAAAAGCAAAAAAGAGGACAACATTACTTGGGGTTGATGTAGGAGGGCTGCCTGTGCGTATCGAAGGAGAAGTCACACATCATAAAAAGTCGCGCGTGGAAATGGTTCAGCAGGATGTGCGTAAATTTCGCATCCAATGTAAGAATGTCTCGTATTATACCTTTTCAGAAAGGAAATTGACTCTGGAGTTCAACACACTGCTTTGCAATGATTTATGGATTTTTAAGCCATTTGAGTTCGTTTCATGCCCGAAGTCAGTAATTTACTATTTTGTTTTTATTTATGATTTGATTCTATTTTGGATTTAATTCTATTTAGAATTTGATTCTATTTAGGATTTGATTCTGTTTTAGGTTAAAAGATTTGATTTCGTTTTAGATTAAAAGATTTGATTTTGTTTTAGAATAAAAGATTTGATTCTGTTTTAGGTTAAAAGCCCATTATGACCTCTTTAAGTCCATTAGGATTATTTTGTTTTATGTATTTAAAGACCTTTGGCGCGACCATAAGAATTACTTTTTATCCTTTATTATAATAAAAGTCAGAGCTTTTCTTATATCTTACTGGTGGATTTCAGAGCTTATCTGATAGCTTTTGCACTTGCAAACCTGTTCTTTATTCTAGATTTAGCGCTTGTTATTTTCTAGGGCTTCCGATTGCGTCAGTGCTTTAGAAGTGTGTTGGACAATGTTGAAAGACAAAGAAAACACGCCAAATGTCATTGTCGTCGATCGTGATATCACATTGATGAATTCAATTGCTAAGGTGTTTTCTACTTCATACACATTATTTTTTAGGTATCACATCACAAAATGTGAGAAGTCAACTGAAACCTGTGGTAGGAACCAAACAAATAAACGACGAAGATGAAAAAAATGGTCAAAGCAAGCGTGATACTGAAAAAAATAATATTAGGAGATCATAGATTTGAAACCATCGTGTCAACCGTTAAAAATAAAATTTTGGATAAGCAAGGCGTGTGAGAAATATTAGGATTTCTTAAAATACGTTAAAAATATAATTCTAGATCGGATGAAAGAGAAAATTATTTGTGTTTGGACCGATCAGGTTAAACACTTAGGAAATACAACTAACTGAGTTGAATCTGTCCATGCTACACTGAAGAATTAGCTGAGAAATAGTAAATGTGATTTGTGTAGAGATTGAGACTATGTGAATTAAATGATCCAAAATCAACATAATGAGATGCAAACATCATTTGGTCGCAATATCACAATATTGAAGCATTGTTTTAGAGACAATAATTTATAGTCTCATTGGTCGGTAATATATCTCAAGCATAATTGAATTTTATTTTTTACGAGATCAAACAAGCTGATAAAGTAGCTTTCAATAGCTCAATGTGTGGTTGCACACTCAAAAAAATGTATGGTCTCTTATGTATTTGTCTAATTTTAAAAACGATGAAACTTAATTGCCCAATAGAAATGGACAAGGTTTGCACTCATTTGAAAAGGCTCGGGTTTGATGAAAATTGTGTGATGAAGGACGATAAATCAAATTTCTCTATCTTGATCGAATGAGAAATGCTACAAGAGAGATTTTAAAAGTCAATGACAACATGAAACTTCACATCAAAGAGAAAATGAGGAAGATTGCTTATCAAGAAATCATAGATTTGAAACCATCGTGTCAACCGTTAAAAATAAAAGTTGCTCCTAAGAAGGTCAAACCAACTCTGAGTGACAACTCAACGATGCAATCTCCTTCCTATTTTGAACATGTTGACAAACTTTTTTCGGATTCTCCAACTTCAAAATCTAAAAAAAAGTATCTTTAAAGGAAATCACATTAGCAAACCATTCCTTCACCACATTAACCCAAAATGCTATAGATCAAAGAGATGTCAGTTTTTATGCACAAATACATTGAACGATTTGTCAATGTTGAAGGTGAGAGTAACTGCGATTATCGAGATATTTCTGATTTGCTTGATAAAAGAGAGAAGGATCATACATTTGTCCTCCAAAAGTTATCAAAAAGTTGAAGGCGCGTAAATAATCATTTTCTCCACGACTATACGAGAAAAAAAGAACATTTCAATGCAATTAATGAATCTCTTATTCTTTGTATTAGAGATCCGACACCGGAGAAAAAATGATTGTGCTTTATTGAAATAGCTCATCTTATAGCTATTACGTATAATAAAGTGTATTGATATAACAAGATACATGTTTTCAAAAATATTTTTTTCACTGTGGACTGTCCCACCTCAAAATTCAATTAATTTTATTATGAGTATTTGATGACTTTCAAAATCACATTTTGTTCTAGTTTATTTGAAATCGAGATTCCTTATACCACTAACATCATCGGAAAGAACAACTCCTTCAACAAGGAAAACTAAAACTTGGCCGGATTAGTTTTTAGATAGGCTACAATAATTCATCAAGTTGAGCGAGATTGAAATAAAATCAAATAAACAAAAGTCTAAGATGAAACAACCCTTAGATATAGATTACACATGTTTCAATTCATTTTAGTTTTTATTCAACAACGTATTTATGTGGTTAGACATGTTTTGCATGTAATATTGAGTTAACTCAAATGTATACATTTTCATATTCATAGATTTCGATATGTGTTCTAATTTCTCAAAATTTTCTCAATTTTTGTTTACTATAACAATTTCAGTTTCTAAAACAGGTTTTGTTTTGGGTGAATTCAGAAATACGTTTTCGGATTTATCCAAAATGTTTTTTTAAAAATTTGAACATGGGTTTATTCATAAATGCATTTTAGGACTCACTATAATATCACAACTTTCTCTAAACGAAAGAGGGTTTATGCGGACACACATCTCCAGAATATCTCCTGAGACAGGTTTGAGTTTCTAATATTCATCTTTTTGACATGTCACATTTGTCTACTTCAACGACGCGAAGGCTTCACTTGAATTCAGGGTCTTAGTGTACAACTCTCTTGTAGATCTGAAATACATATTAGAGAATCTTCTACAATACTCCAACAATCGAAAAGTTGTGAAAGTCAAATGTTGT